CTCTTCTATTTAGTTGCATTTCATGCTTTTGCAGTTTTCCAAAAAGGGTTGCAACCGACATTGTTGATAAATCCTTTTAGCCAACTGATTAAATTTGGCCAGATATTCATCAACGGACATCTCACCCTACACAAGATCATTATATTCACCTTCCTTCATTTCCTTAGCATCTCAAGGAAAGTACTTGTCAAGAAAGTTCCTCTCAAACAAAGGTCAAGTAATAGCATAACCCTGCAGCTCTAATGGGCGAGAAGTATTTAGCCACCAATCACTGGCATCACCTTTCAACATATATGTGGCATACAACAGTCTCTGATTATCCGGACTCTCCATCATTCTAAAAATCCTCTCTAGATACTGCAACCATGTAGCAGCAACAATAGGGTCATAATCACCCTCAAAAGTAGGTGGTTAATGCTTCCTGAAAGCATTTAGCCATCTCTCTAGCCTCAACATTCTCCATTGCAATCGTGTGAATAGATTGCAGCCCAATCTGAATAATAACACCACCATGATGACTAGCCTTTCACTCTGCATCCCCATGCTCGACATGGAGAGTATGTGGAGATGGAATGAGTGTATGTGGTGGGGGCTGGTTCCCCGCTCTACCATCTCCCATGGCTCTCAACTCAGCTATCATCTGGTTCATCAACATTTGATTGGCAGCAATTACATCTCGATTTGTCTTCATTCAAGTCTCATTAGCTTGCTTAGAAGTAGCCAACTCCTGCTACACTCCAGCCAAAGCAACAACTATAAGATCAGGTTGTCCTGATGTGGCCCCAACATTACTCTGGGGTCTCACCAAGGCAACTAATGTAGGATTTGTCTGTTCGTCATCTATCGCCAGAGGTGTCTTAGGAGGTGCCATGAATCTGCACATGTTACACAAAGGAATGAGTTGATCAGACCCACACTAAGTTCTTACACATGCATCATCATAGAAAATTCTAAAAGCTACTCATAAACATAACAATTAGCTGCAATACATTAAGGAATTCCATTTTCAAAACTGCTCTGATACCATAAAATGTAACGCCCCGTTTGCAGCCAGTTAATTAACATTCATATGATAGTAAGCGCAACATGCTCAACTTAATTAATGCGGAAGCTAACTGAATAAATTTTATTTTTCCTTATGTATTGCAATTTTTTTCTCTTCCATGGCCAAAATAAAACGGACAACATTTCGTCTGTATTTTGGACCACTGGGGACATTTTCTACCATGATAATTTCAACCTAACTGACAATATAATATAATCCAGGCATAAACCATATTACCCAGCCATCTATGGCATAGGCTATCCCATACATAACAGGTCTCAAAATAATATCCATAGGGTTACTTACATGATTACACCAACCAACCAAAAGAGATGTAATCAAATAAGTAACTTAGACATATACAGACATAATTAACAAAATAGATAAACTATCAACATGGCATAGACATCCCCTATGCTCTCAAAATAATGACATGGCATATAGATATATATCCAAAATAAAACCATGCCAAATACATATCATCATATCAATCAAATCATACTATCATGTCAGATAATATCTCTCATCTGACCTCTTGCCACGCGATACCTCAACACCATCAGCTCCTGTACCTGAAATGGTAATCCCCATAACACGGGGTGAGATAATATAATTACCTTAGTAAGCTAGGGATCCTTGGAGGGCTCCTCCACCCTTAAGCTCACTTATGGTATAATCACAGTACATAAAATATCCATCCATGCATCAGAATATGTATGACAATGCAATGTTCAATAATATAATCCTACTGGCCAAAGAATAAAACATGTATGCGTTACGCAAGGTAACTTATCTTGCAACATACCCGTACAAGGTAACTCATCCTGTACTACGCATAAGGTAACTCCTCTTATCACACACAAGATAACTTATTTTGTGTGGCACACAAACATACATATATATATATATATATATACATGCATCATATAACAACTCATAATCCATATACCATATAAAAGAACCACCCTCCCTCGGAGTTTGGTGGAACAAACGGGGGATTAACCCCAAGAATCGAAAGCTTACCTGTCAAGCACTATACTCCAATGCATTACTTGTATCCAAGGGGTCACAACCACAATCTCTCACAATATCACAACCTATTCCAAATATGTGAAGACAATCAGTACATATATAGTAGTCTAACAAATTCAATTTTCAAGACTACACATACAAGACACATCCACTTGATTTTGAGTCAAATTTATGAAAGTGTTCTAAATGACAATTTCATAATTTTTCCTTTTATGGGAACTAATTCCAAGCATGTTTAACAAAGGGACTCACCTACAAATCACTCTCCAACTACTCATACCATTAAATTTTCGAAGTTGACATATAGCCAAAAACTATGATTTTTTATAGTGAGCTAAACAGTGATTTCTTTTTTTGTCTTTCATCAAGAAGCAATTATAAGCATATTTATCAAAGGAAGCTATATCCAAATCACTCTCTAACTATTTATACCATCAAATTTTTGTGCACTATTCATCACAAAACTTATAATTCTTAAAATTTCATGGAAATAAGAAAAGAGAGGTGATTCCTTACCACAATGTACCCAAGAATGAAGGAGAAAGTTTACTTCAAGCTCCCATGGCCTCAAGCTCCATCAAAACCCATATTTTCCATGAAACCCAAATCTTAGGGGAGGAAGAACTCTCTCTTCAGTGAACCCCACATGAAAATATGGGCACCAATGTGTTCCTCTCGAAATTTCTCACAAGTTTGGCTTTGAAATATAGTGATTTGGAGGTCTCCAGCTCTCTCTATGAATTTTGGAAGATTTTCACTCAAAAACATTTTTTTCCTCCATCTGTTAACGCTCGTGGAAGACGAAGAAGAATAGGAATGTTTTGAAACTTTTCACTTACATAGGATAAGTGAAATTCAACTGGGTATCTAGTCACCTTTATTAATTATCAAACTTTACCCAATGGACTAGAATTTTTTCTAGTTATGTTTCTATTTTTACTTTTACCTTTTGGGTAATTTTGTCTACTAATATTTTTATCCTTTAACTGTTATTCTTAACTCATTTTTCATCAAAGGTGACTTTAATTCATTTATTTATAGGTTAGGGTCATTATAATTAGTGATTGAACTAACTTGCCCATTTTACCCCTGATCACCTAGCCTAACTTGTTAAAGAAACTTAATAAAATCCCTGATCATATTTAACTTGACATTCAAACTCACGTGGTAATCATCCTTATCAAACATTCCACGTGGACCCAAAGTTTAAAAAAATACTAAATTTCCAAAATTGAAAAATATTTTTGAAGACACGGGTCGCATCAAACAAGCTTCAAACGCATAAACTTTGTGCACAAATGACATGAAAATGGTGAGTATTTCATGTGTGTTTGAAGTTTGTGTATATGTGGAGGGTTAAAAATATAGTCTACACAAGTAATCAGCCTAAGGCTGATAACAACATGGTCTAATAAACGAATAACATAATGAAGTTAGTTAGCAAGGAGGACAAGTTAGGGATACTGGAAGTTGCGGGATGACATGTGGTCATTTTGGTATTGGTAGATAGAGGTGGATGGCATAATTTCTTATCCAAATAGGGGGTGAAACTAGGGGTTTTCATCAACTGATCCAAATCGATTCAAAACGCGGTGAACGAACTGAAAAATCGATAACCGAATAAACTGAAAAATCAAAAACCGAAAAAAAACCCGCAAATTTTAATTGGATTGGATCGATTTTCAGATTGGTTGATGAAAACCGATCAAATCCAAATCGATCCAATATATAAATTCTGCTCTACCTACTTGAGCCTTTCCCCAATCGTAGCCCAACATTTTCTAGACCCAAGATCCATTAACCCATCAACGAAACCCAAGAAAAAACCTACTCACATCTCATCAACAAAATTTCATTTGTGTAAGAGCTTCATATCTCATTGCCAAAAAAAAAAACTATATTATCGTTTACTTACGCTTTTGTAATTTCAAATAAAAAATAAAAAATTACAAAGCCAATATATACAAAAGATGTTATTTGCACAATAATCATGAAACAAATTTTAGAATTTTAAAAAAACCGAAAACCGATCTACTCCAAATCGAAAAAAATTAGATTGGATCAGATCAGATTTGAAAAAAAATCCTAACGGAATGAATGATTACATGGTCAAATCGAAGGGATTGGATCAGATGATTTTTGCTTTCAAAATCGATACAATCCAGACCGCGAACACCCGTAGGCACAACAACTATTGTTGATGTGGATTACCTTTTATCATGTAAGACTAACACCTATTATATCAAATTATAAAATAAGGGTAAAATTAAAAGTTAATTTAATTACTAACTATATCAAAGTGGACTTGGATAAAAAAAAACTAATTGATAAGAAAAAAAGAAGAAGAAGAGTAAATACCATTTTCGGTCCTCAGCAAATGTTATGATGCTCGCTTTAGTCCTTAGTAAATAAAAAGGTTATTCGTGGTCCCTACGAAATTCAAAGTGAACCCATTTTAGTCCTTTTGCGACACTAATATGGGTCTTTTTTGAATTTGTGAGAGACCACGATTTTAACTAAATACGTCTATTTTGAATTTCTTAAGAACCACGAATAACCTTTTTATTTACTAGGAACAAAAAGATATTTACTCAAAAAAATATAAGTGATAAAAGAATAAATCACATCATTTATCAACTTTTCCCCATAAAATTTTAGCGCAAACTCATGTTTTTGTAAAGCTTAAATTTAGAGAAACAATTATTATTTTTAAATATTTCTCTCACAAAAATTCTTAAAAAAAGAATTATTCTTCAAAATAATTTATCAATCGAAGCTTAGGAACTTTCAGCATCCTTCGTCTTGAAAAATTACACAGATAAACTTTCTCATTTCTTAATTTTTATTTTATTTTTAAGAAAACTCGTCATAGGCTCGTAGCGATAGCTGCCAGTGGAATATGCAAATGAACCAGTGAGAAAAAATGGCGCTGATCACCGTGTCCTCCGCCGGAACCACCCTCCACAACCCCACCGTAGCATTCACGACGCCGTCCAACTACGCCGCAAGACTATCCCAGCTCATGACCCTCAGCGCCTACAACACACTCTGGTGTCCCACTCTCATCATTGAACCTACCCCATCCACCCTCACCCCTTACCTCTCCCCTCAATCCCTTGACACCTTCTCCGCCATTGCCTTCACCTCACGAACCGCAATCCAAGCCTTCCGCCACGCCGCCTCCACTCTCCCCCATCCCCCGCTCTCCCCCTTCGGTACCACCTTCACTGTCGCCGCCCTCGGCAAAGACTCCGAGCTCATCGACCGCGATTTCCTCTCCGGAATCTGCGCCAGTTCAGAGCGGGTTACTGTTCTGGTGCCCCCGACGGCGACTCCGAGTGGCTTGGCGGCGGCGCTCGGTGCCGGCTACGGCCGGAGGGTGCTTTGTCCGGTCCCGCTCGTTGTTGGGCTGGAGGAGCCGCCGGTGGTCCCCGGTTTCCTGCAGGAGCTCCGGGCTGGCGGGTGGGCCCCGGTTCGGGTCGAGGCCTACGAGACACGATGGGCCGGGCCGCGTTGTGCGGAGGGGATTGTGAAGGCGAGCGAGGAGGAGGGATTGGATGCGGTGGTGTTCACTAGTAGCGCTGAGGTGGAGGGGCTCCTTAAGAGCTTGAGGGAATTTGGGTTGGGCTTTGGGGACTTGAGGAGGAAATGCCCAAGGTTGGTTGTTGCGGCCCATGGGCCTGTCACTGCGGCTGGGTCGGAGAGGCTGGGAGTGAAGGTTGATGTGGTGAGTTCCAAATTTGATAGTTTTGATGGTGTTGTTGACGTTCTAAATGTCACATTGGCAAGGCTTAGAATTTAGATGTTAGAATTCAAATGTAGACTTTTGCCTATTTAATCAAAGGCCTTTTCTTGTGATATATGTGTGATATGAGATTGTACTTCCTTTATATTGCGATTTGTACTTGATAGTGCTATACACTCTTTGGTCACAACTCTCAACATGTTTGTATCAATAATATGTCGAGATTTTGGTGATTATCATTCATTTGTTTGCTTCACCACTAGTCTACAACATTTGGGTTGCTTAGTTCTTTAATGCTATGTTTGGGATTTTATAGGTAACTTCATTAAACCTCTTAATACAATAAATGTGAAAAGAAGCTCCCTTTTAAAATGGGGAAAAGGTTTTCGAAAGCTCTACACATGCATGTAGGTAAATGGGGGGCGTTGTTTGTTCAAGGATGAAGCGAATTGTGATTGGCTGAAGGGTACACAACAATGATTTTAAGCAAATACTTGTTCAACTCTCTATCATGATCATTGGCAGAGATATAGAGTTTATGATTCAGATCACTCAGGGTTTTCCCATTGCCAAATTTGCCTCGTTCATGAATGTATTTCCTTGGGATTTCAAGAAAAATGGCAAGCTAACAGCAATAAGGTACTTGGGTCCATGCAATTAAGTCTTGAAAGTTGAAATAATTATATCTGAGGTAAGTAACAGAAGGAATAACTAAGAAGATTTACTTATCAGATAGAAGGAACGTATAAGACAGCACTGAGTGAATCATAAATATTATGAATTCAAAGGAATGCCATTTCAAATATTTTATGAAGTGGGTTGAGTGGGAGTGGGACAGGATTGTATGGCACACTGAAACAATGTAAATATCTATTATACAAGCTACAAACTCATTTAATTACACACTTGCAAACTAAACAATTATATGTTACTGATGGCTTTCAAAGTGGTGATGCAAATGAAAAATTTATTGCCCTTCTTTTGAAGTTCTGCCATCTTCGAGACCCTTTAACCCTGACAAAACCTTCAGAGCATCTTCCATGGATGGCCTATCCTTCGACCTGCTTCTAGTGCAGAGCATAGCAACCTCAAGAACCAGTTTAATCTCTTGCAATGAACTTGCAGAACTCACTTCATTCTCATTGTAAATTTCTCTTAGAAGAACCTCCCATGGTTTGCTGTGTATGCTAGCTGCTGCATTTCTCAACCTTCCCCCAGTTAAAATTTCCAGGATTATCTCCCCAAATTTGTAGACATCCATGCAAAGTTCCTCTTTGGTGATTTCATTGAATTCTGCCATCCAAAATTAAACATAAATCAGAGCTGGTTATAAAGTTTTCTGTAAAAGGTATATATGCGCTACCAGGATTTAAGTTACTTGTTGCATGTACTTTTTATGCTTTGACAAGACAAGAGGAAGGAAAAGAAAAATTGATGTCATTTAATGCTTATGCATATGCACACACTTGTTTGTCATACCTGTTTCCCACTTAGTTGTGGTTGGAGATGATCCTTTGCTCAACTTCAACAGATTTTTGAACCCAAATTCTGCCAAATGGGGTTCCATATTTTCGTCAAATACAATGTTACTGGACTTCAAGTCTCCATGGGGTATAGCAGGGTAACAGTGATGGTGAAGGAAGCAAAGTCCCCTTGCAATTCCAACCACTGTTCTGAATTTAGCTGCCCAATCCCATTTCATTCCAATTTTCTCAGCCAAATTCCCACTGGGCAAATAATCGTACAAAAGATACACTTGATGCTGGTTGTGGCAGAAACCCAACAATCTGATTAAATTCTTGTGCCTTGCATTTCCAAGTCGCATTATAAACTCTGACACGTCCTTAATGCTCCTTGCTTCCCATTCAATCTTCTTAACTAAAACTGTTATTCCTGTAGGCAGAACTGCCTTTGTAACTAAAGGTGATGGTGATGGAACTTCTGTTGGTTTTGTGGCATTGAAGCTAATCAAAACATCATTTGCTGTGAATTGAGGGAGTCCAACAAATGGGACCATCTTCCATTGACTTTTAACACCCCTTCTGTAATAAAGTGTTCCAAAAGCCAATCCTAAAAGGATTATTAGCAACCCTACAGAGAGTAGCACAATACGTGTAAGCTTCCAGTTCCATGTGCCTTTGCTGCCCAATATTCCAACTGAATCAGGACATGGTCGCAGAGGTGCTCCACATAGCTCTGAATTTCCAACAAATGCACTGCTATCCATTAATTTGAATGACTCTCCTGTGGGTATTGAACCTGAGATATTGTTGAAAGACACATTGAAAAGTTGTAAACTTGAAGAACTACCAAACTTTGCTGGTATAGGGCCATTGAACTTATTGTTAGATAGGTCTACTACAGCAAGAATTGAGATGCTGGCAAGCTCCTCAGGGATATGACCTGTCAGATTGTTGTTAGATAATTTGATTTTCTCAAGAGCTTGACATTTGGAAACACTGTTTGGGATAATTCCTGATAAGTTGTTCCTATCTAGATCAATAACTGAGATTGATTTGCAGGACTCAAATGGAGGAAGATAGCCTGAAATTCCACACAAAGATGCTGAAAAATTTTGAAGTAGGGGCAAAGACCACACTTGTGTAGGGATGATGCCTCCTAATTGCAGATTGTAAGAGACATTGAAATACTCTAGTTGAGTAGCTTGAAAAATATCTGAAGGAATCCCACGAACAAAATTGTTTCTTGACAGATCAACGTATGAGATACCAGGAAGATGGCTAAATCTTAAAGGGATCTCTCCTGAGAATGAATTATCTTCTAGGCGAAGACGAACAAGGGAAGAACAGTTGGAGATTGATGAAAGACCACCTGTGAATTTGTTTGAAAACAGGATCAGCTTAAATAGTACTCCACTCACACAAATATCTGGTGGAATGCTTCCAATGAAATTGTTTGTGGAAACATCCACCCACTTGAGTTTGGAGTTCCTGCCTAAGCTCTGTGGAAGTGATCCAGAGAAGCGATTGTTCCAAATGAGAAGAGTTTCCAAGGATGGTAGTTGTGCAATGCCTTCGGGAACAGAACCACTCATGTCATTGTACATGAGACTGAGCAGTCTTAGGTTCTTTAGCTCAGAAAAGCTTTCAGGAATGGACCCAGAAAGGAAGTTATCAGAGAGATCTAAATCTGAGAGGGGTGTGATTTTGCTGAACTCACTTGGAATTGACCCTGTGAGCTGGTTTCTGAACAGAAAAAGTGATTGCAAACTTGTGAGATTCGAGAGTTGCTTTGGTATTGTGCCAGATAGATTTGCACCTGCTATGTCAAGATACTGAAGCTGGCTCATATTACCAAGTTGGGATGGAATGAAACCCTGGTAAAAGTTGTAGCCAATCTCCATGTGGGTCACTGTTTTGAGGCTGCCCAGTTCAGGAGGTATACTTCCTGTGAGAGAATTTCCTGCCAGATGAAGAAACTCAAGGCTTCTGAATGAACTATATTCAGATGGAATTGATCCTTTGAAGTAACTCCCAGCTAGATTAAGAACCTTAAGATATTGTAGCTGAGATAATTCAGCAGGCAATTGCCCTGAAAAGCTGTTGCTAAAGGCATCAAGCACAACCAAATTTTGGAGACTGGGAATTCCACCTGGGAAGTGACCAGAAAAATTGTTTCTGCTTATATCCAAGCTTCTGAGGCTGGTGAGGTTAAAAATCTCCGCTGGAAGCTGCCCAGAGAATAAATTGTGGCTCAGATTGAGATCAGTTAGCTTTGTGAAGATGCTAAATTGCTTCCCTGACATTAGACCCCCCAGTTTCTTCATTGACAGGTCTATGGAAGTTACAATTGTAGAATCCTTGTTACACTTGATACCAATCCAAGAACATGCATATGATTTCCCTGTTAAGTTTCCTCCAGAGGGTACCACCCAGTCATGCAAACTGTTATCACTATCTACAAGCTCAGATCTTAGGCTCAGGAGTGCCTCTGAGTAAGGGTCGATTGCTAAAACTGCTGATAACATGAAAGTAAGGAGAAGGTTGATGTACAAGCATTTGAAAATCTCCATTGGAATTTGAAGAGCACAAGGAAGGTGGACAATTGTAGGTTCCCTAAGCAAAGGTAATGGTGTCAGTATAAAATAAGTTTTGTATATTTGTTTTGTCGTTTGAGGAATGCATGGGGAATAGAAAAAGGAAATGGGACTGTACAATTGAAAAAAGAGAATGACTATTCTGATTGATTAGTTGGTTCAAGAATATTATTGGGTTGCTTTTGGGTGCAAGAGGGGACCCTTTTGTGTTATTTATTTGGATGGTGTTTGCCATTAGGGAATAAAGCCTTCAAATATGAAATTATCTTTTTCTAACTTTTCATTTTGGAGAATCCCATAGATAGGTGACGTCATGGCTAATTCAAATTTCTTTTATCTTAGCTTTACTCTTAACCGCTGGGACATGGATCAAGTTCGTCCATATCCATGTCCTTGTATGGAGATTATAAAAGGTATATTGCATGGTCTTTTTAGGTTGGACGGAAAGCCAAATTTCTGAATTGAGTAAATATTGTGTGAGAAAAATTTGCAGATAGGAAATTGCCATTTACTATACTAGACACTTAAAATTATAGCTGCCTTGAGTGCTAATCTATAGTTCCATTTTATAGCTATCTAAATAATTGTGGTGTATGATGCATGGGTGCTAAAGGATGGGATATGATTTTAGTTTTCGTCATTAACTTGGGGAGAAGTGCCGTGTAAATTCATATAATAATCGCCCTTTCTTTTCACAAAAATATGTTCAAACATGATAATGTAAAAACCCTACACACCAGCAAATCTTCTTGTTAATAATATCTATAAGGAGAAGAATGATAAAGAGAGCATAGATCTTATTATTATTACTATTATTTTTCTTGTGAGTTAAGCTTAAATGTAGTAGTGTTTGTAATTGTGTCGCATTTGCGAAACTTCCTTTTAGCAGAAAACAAAGCATGACCATTTGTCGGATGATTAACTCAAGGGTTTAACATATATACGCTCTTTTCTTAAGAGATATGAGTAGTAAATAATGCTTATAATATAGATTACCATGCATACGTTATCTAATGAAGAGCTTTCACTAGTGAAATGCGGGTATATGGAAAGAACCGAAACAGACAAGGCTTGTGATATAAAGGAGTTTTTTTTATCCCTTAAATTATGATATGATGTGCCATTGTTATTCCCTTGATGAATATGAACGTTACTATACATGCTCAAAGCCTTTGTTTTGTTTGTATAAACAAGGGGAAGGATGAGTTTATAATTTTTTTTTTTTTTTTTACAAATTACAGTAAGTATGATCGGCCATACACTCTTGATTGAAGTATGACCGGTCATATTTATTTTAGTTTATAAGAGTTTGTAAACAAAAAGTTTGTAAATATAACTTTTCCATATAAACAAAGGGATTAATATTTTTTATGTTATAGGAGATAATTTTAACTCCTATACACACGTAAAAGTGTATATGAAAATTATCTTCTAAACATGAGAAACACTAATCTCATAAACAAACCTTTCGTGTTATTTATTTTCAAAAGTTTAAGTGAGTAATGAAATATCATATTACGAAATGGTGGTAGCTGTAACGTCCGGCTGCTTCAAGAATCAACGACTATCCTCACATACTAACACGAGACTTCTCAGTGTGCTTTTTCCTCACTCGCACACTTCTCGGGAAAACTTCCCAGGAGGTCACCCATCCCAGAATTGCTCCCAGTCAAGCACGCTTAACTATGGAGTTCTTCCGTTTCGGGCTACCGAAAAGTAGATGCATCTTGTTAGTATAGGTAGTACCAATTAATTCTTATAAGCTATCCCAAACTACGCAGTCTCACACCTGCACAATCTTTGGAATCCCTCTCTTTCAGGTGTCGATTCGATTCATTCATGCATGTAACCCCCTGCTGGAAACCTGTCAGGATCCGCTCTTTGTCTGTGCTTTTTCGCACAGGCGATCACTCCCCGCCCTCGTCAGCGCTCAGGATGTTACATGCCCACCAGTTTTCGCCTGGTTCGTCCTCGAACCACACCGTACTGGAAGAGAGGCCCTGCTCTGATACCACTTATAACGCCTGGCCGCTTTAATAATGAATGACTATCCCCACATATTAACGCGGGACTTTTTAGTGTGCTTTTTCCTCACTCGCACACTTCTCAGGAAAACTTCCCAGGAGGTCACCCATTCCAGAATTGCTTCAAGTCAAGCACGCTTAACTATGGAGTTCTTCCGTTCCGGGCTACCGAAAAGTAGATACATCTTGTTAGTATAGGTAGTACCAATTAATTCTTATAAGCTATCCCAAACTATGCAGTCTCACACATGTACAGTCTTTGGAATCCCTTTCTTTCGGGTGTCGATTCGATTCATTCATGCATGTAACCCTCCGCTGGAAGCCTGTCAAGAGCTGCTCTTTGTCCGTGTCTTTTCGCACCGACGATCAATCCCCACCCTCGTCAGCGCTCAGGATCTTATAGTAGCTCAGGGAGTTGAGTAAGTGAAAATAAAAGGACCTCAGTTCGATTTTCACATGTCACCTTTGGGAGGGGTTATAGAGTCTGTTTCGATGGGCTTCCAAAGAAAGTGCTTTTTATGTCTTTCTTATTTTAGAAGTACTTTGTATATAATCTAAAGCTATTTAGATTATTATTTTTTTAAAAAATGATTTTTGAAAAAAAAAATTTGGCTTTTGGTTTCTGCTTTTTTTTTTTAAGCTAAAATTTGCTTTCAGAAAATGCAAATTTTTGACTTTTTTGTGACTTCTGTTTTTTTTTAAAAGCAAAAATCGAAATAGACTTTTTTTGAGAAGTGTTTTTTTTTTTTAAAAAAATACCTTTTGAAGGAAAAAAAAATCCCATACAAACATGCTCTAAATTGCTTCATTCCTGACCCGCCCCGCACTTCGGATCTGTCCCATAGACGATTCAAAGAGTTGAAGTTTGTGAGAATATCGAGAGAGTCAACTCATCTAAAAGAGATAATTAGAGTTGAGTTAATTCCAAAAAAAAAAGTCATATTAATTAAATATAAACTAAATAATGACCATATCAATGAGATAGACCATAAACTTAATGTCGAATTAAGATATAGGGTCAAATTCTTCCTACTCTGTCCATTGGTAGAAATCTATCATATTTTCGTTTCAATAATATAACATTGCTCAATTAATTTTAAGTAGTGGTATCTAACAAGATGCATGCTGCCATTTTACGCCTTGACAGAGGCACGGGAGCAGATGATAAAAACAGTAGGAACTGAAGACTGCCCAAATTAAGCATTAGATTTTATGTTGATAAACTCCTCACATACTTGTATACAAATCACTAGATAATCCCTTAACTTTTTAAAGTGATCTAGATGTGCTTACTTTTTAATATTTGTGAGAGGATTTTCAGAATGAAATTTATGAAAGTCCAATTACTTTTTTTGTATAATGGACACCAAAACCTTGTCTTTTCTTTCAATGGTTTGAAAATATCTGTCCTTCTCGATCAGGAATTTATGAATCATAAAAATGCAAACGTATACAACCCAAGAGCCAGGGCCCTGGAACAGCTCTTTTCACAGAGACCCCGTGACTTGGTATATTGAATACTCACTTAATTTGTTCCCTGCATTTGCATGCTGATCCTATGAGAAATGTCTATGATGTAAATGCTATGATAAATATTTAGCTGAGAAGATAGTTTCTTAAATAATAAATCATCAACTTAAACATAAATACTAAAATATAAAAAAAATGAAATTTCATTTCTTAATTGTTTTTATTTTGAGTTTATCAAACGTTACCAATTATGCGTCCAATTTCAATATATAAGTACGTCTCCTTAAAAAAGTGCTCAGTGAGTCCCTTCAAGATGAATCTGAAGATATGATATTTGAAATTGCTATTAATTTGACAACAGTATTATGTAAATTAACGAATGGATTTTCTCAGAGTGTAAATTTTATATAATATATTAATGCGTAAATTTTATATTTTTCTCTTTTCTTATAAATACTTAATAGGTCAGAGCCAAATTTTATCAACAGTTATAAATATTTATGAAAAACGTGTAAATTTTACATAATATATTAATGTTAATTGGGTTCGACACTCCGGCCTATTAAATATTTATAAGAAGAAAATAAAGACAAAATTTAAACTTTAATTAAATAATGCAAAATTTTCGGTACAACAAACTTAATGAGCTATCACATGCACCGGCTGTGGCTCGCGTCGTCGCTATTGCTTTGCATATTCCACTGCTTACATTTCCAGCTTTACCTACTTTTCTTATAGAATTACTTTTCACTTCTTGTTAATTTCCCCCTTAAAAATTTCTTTCTTGAATCAAAAAGTAAATGCTGCCATGACTTAATCATTTGAATCAAAGAAAAAGAGAGCCACGCTAGACACCCTAAAACTGGTTACTATCATGATAACAAGGGCAAACAAATATGAGTGCATGTTTGGATACTCTCATTTTTTGTTTTTCTAGAAATTAGGCCAAACAATTTTTTATAAAATTTTGTAATAATTTTTTTTTTATAATGAAAAAAAAGTTAAAAGCCAAAAGTTTCTAGAAGATGTTTTTTTTTTTAATTTATTATCAGCTTTTTTTGGAATGAAGTTTGAACTTTTAAGCTAAAATTTTTATGTAATCACCAAACATCAGTGTTTAAAAATCCGATCCAACCATCGACTCGACCGAGGTCAGGGGTCACGGGTTCAACCGGAAGGTCACGTGGTCACTTCGCTGACCCGATTTTATACTTTAAAAAAATTAAATATATATCCTATATGAAAAAATTTAAAAAATCAAACCGCCAATTACTAAAGATTCAAGATATACTTAATATAATTCAACCAATTACATCCACAAGTCAATATTCACAAGATAATCAAAGCATCAAACTATCAAAGTATAAAAACACATACTCCAATAGAGTTAATAAAAAGTTATATCATCAAACTCAGACCCTTATTGTCTTTCTCATGCATCTTCAACAAAGGAGATCTTTACCCAATAGAAAATAGCGGAGGAGAGGCGGTGACACGACAAATTAACAGTGAGGATAGAAGAACTAGCATGGTGGAGAAGATCACCGAAGGAGACTGAGTCTAGGTATGGCAGAGAAGATCGGAAGAGAAGAAAATGAACGATTCAGATTTCAGATCCAATTCCAAATCTAGGCAGCAGAGAGCTTTTGTTTTTTTTTTTCAACACATCAAGCGATGTCATTTCATGTATAATTTAAAAAAAAAATGCAGTGACCCCTCTGACCCGGGAGTCACGGGTTCAACCGAGGATTTCAGAGGTTAAAGGAGTCAATGTACAAGTATGGTCTAACTACTAACCCAAACCCTCAAAGAAAAGGGGTCAATGATCTGGCAGGGTCGACCCCGAGATAGGACGAGATTTTAAAACACTGCAAACAGCTTTTAACTTTTTTTTTAAACTCTTTTTTTTTACTTTAATTTAAAAGTAATTTTAACTTAAAAAAAAAAAACCCAAACAAACGCTTAAAAAAATACAGATAAAAAGGAAAAGAAGGAAATTCAAGTTAGTTTGCCAAGAGAAACGTTTAAAAAGATAGCCATAATAATAAGTGACCGTGTGGCCTAGGGCTGCACAATAACACACCTTTTAAAAAAGTAGAAAAAGCAAGATTCGGTTGACTAGATTCCCACTTGGGTCAAAAGAGTAGGAGCTCATACATTTTCATCTGATTTGATGTCAATTTTAGCTATTTAATCTTTCATGTCATGAGGAAAGCGTAGACAACGGAATTATTAACAAGATAATTGTGAGATTGAGAGCCTTTTTTGTTGCTAAGTGGGGTAATCTTACTGAAGAAGCCACTGCTAAGCATCTAGCAACAGTTTAAGGTGAATTGAGTGACTTTCTTTTAGGATGGACAATTGGCCATAAACTCAGATAATGGGACATTTGGGAGAGAAAAGAATGATAAACAGTGAAAAGTTTACTTTGAATGCAAACAACCAGAAAGCATTAACACACTCAAAATAGGGCGCCTAAACATACTCTTTTGGTATAAAAGTTGCTATCAACTGGTAATTTTTTTTTTTTTTTTTTTTGTAAATCTATCAACCGGTAAATTTAAAACTACGAAAAAAATCTTCAAGAAAAAAAAATAATTAGTAATGGGTTAAACAAATTCGAATCAGACTTTTTAAAAATGGTAAACTGAGTCTTGTTAGTTGTCACTTGTCAGCATGTATAAATATGAATATTAAGGTTAGTGGTAAATCTCTTCGTACCAAGTTCTAACACAACTCTATTCTTAGGGATTCGACCTTAAGATTAATATTTAAGTTGAAACAATCCCTTATCAGTTGATTTACATACTTGGTAGTGTTTATTTGCATGTTTAGTATGCATTTGGAACTATTTTCCGGTGGGGATAATCAATTCCTTTCTTGAGGAACTTATTAATTTTTTTATTTTTATTTTTATTTTTCATATTAAGTTCCACAGGCACAAACCCCCTCTAGGGGAACTTACGAATTGTGCCACATGACACAATTTCAGCGAGTGAAAACCTTTCAACCCTTCCTATAAAATTCACTCTCCCCTCATTCTCCCACTAATTACAACAATTAATAAATATTTAATTTAGGATTTTTAATAGTGATTCATATTTGTTAATTGTTGTAATTAGTGAATAGTCATGATTAAATTTTGTATTGTTATTGTAAAATATAGGTATGTGTGATTAATTGAGTTTATAGATTTTACTTGGTACTTAGTAATTATTAATTAGTTTTTAGTATGTTTATAGTGTAAAATATATGCGTGTTTATTAATTTTAGGATTTTCAATTGTGATTCATATTTATTAATTATTGTAATTAGTAAATAATTATGATTAAATTTTTATTAAATATTATAGGAAATAAGTGAGTGAGAGAATGAGAGGATGAGATACTTATAGGAAGCGTTAAAGGTTTTGGCTGACTGAGATCGCATCACGTGGCGCGAGAAGTGAGTCCCTTGAGAAATCCACGAAACTCATTAAAAAATAAAATTAAGAAAGTATAAAATGATAGCTTGAGATCTAAGAAAACAAGTATGATATGTTTTAATCCAATGGAATGGTATATACTTGTGTATAACTTATCATGAAATTGAGAAACTAGTCAATTAGGTACCAATGATGGGATCAAAATGTCCCAAGTTAATGCATAACCCGAAATGAACCATTTCTGGTTATGGGAAGCACACTCCGATTTCAGAAAAAAGATTCGTATAGCGTGCTGAGAGCCTGTTTTACGCGCTAATTAAAGTTGAGGTAGTAGCTCAGCCTCCTTGTGCACAAAGAAGGTGCTAAAGCGCGCTAAAATGAGAGAAAATACCTGATGAAGTCTTTAACACGCGCTAGGGCGCTCTAAAGCACCCAAAGCAGAGTAAATTGCACGTGTAGCAGCGCGCTCAAGGACACTATAACGCATTGCAAGAAATGAATTTAGAGAGTTTTACACCTTATTTGTTTATGGGAACTACTTGGTATGGTTATAGAAGTGATGTATGATATACTTGAGTAAAGTATGAGTTTTCCACACAATGTATTAGTTATAATTATAGTTTTGAACTAGTTGAATACAGAAAGAGTTTTATAATGTAAAGCAGAAAGAAAAAAAAATTTATCGTTAATTTAATTAAACTATTGTGACTGTAACGACGCTTAATGCCATGTGTAATGATAACAAACCGGTTGCAAATAGAGTGTTACATTTTATGGTATAAGAGCAGTTTCTAGGAAAACCTTGTATGAGATATGTTATATGATATGCTTCATAGTTGTTATAGGTTTTCATTACGATTATGCATGTGTGATCACTAAGTGTGAGTTTGATCAACTCACTCCTTTGTGTAACAAGTACAACGTCATGGTGAGACCCCGGAACAACCACGAGGCAACTAATGAGCAGCCTAATCCTGTAGCATCCTCCTTGGTTGGTATGCAGGAAGAGTTGAGGGCCAATAAACATGCCTAACAAAATGAGAGAGTAACCGACAGAGCAGCTAATCAAAATATATCTAGTGCCTTCATTAATGAAATGAGGGCGATGAGAAAAGAGAACATACAACTACCTATGTCTCCACCTTCATATACTCCATATGAATAACATGTCAGTGGAGAAGCGAGTCACCATACAAAGGGTACTAGTGGTGAGGCTAACCATCAAGTTACTAATCCTCAACCGTAGGTAAAGATGGCTGTAGAGTTAGAAGTAGTTGAGAGAAGGTTGATTGCTTTCAGGAAGCATAAACCTCCAACTTTTGATGGATCAAATGATTTAATTGTAGCAACAAAGTGGCTTCAAGCTTTGGATAATATTTTAAATGTGGTGCAATGCCAAGATCAGCAGAAGCTGCTCTACGTTGTTTATATGTTAGAAGGAGAAGCGAACAAATGGTGGGTTAATACCACACGACCCTTAGAAGTTCAAAGGCAAGAAGTAACATGGCAGATGATTGAGAATCTCTTTCTTGAGAAGTATTTTCCCAGGGATGCCAGGGAAATGAAACAAGGTGAGTTTGCGAATTTAGTTCAGGGCTCTATGACTGTTGATGAGTATCTAGCTAAGTTCAATGAGTTGGAAATATATTCAAATTATAGAAGGGCATTGCCTACTCTTGAAGATCTAACTGCTATGTTTAAAGGGGCTCGAATGAGAGAATTGCTAGGAAGATAGCTGGTAGTGGATCCAGAGATTTCAGTACATTAATAAATCAGTGCCGCAAAATAGAGGATGTTTGTCAGATGTTCAAGAGTAAGAAGCCTTTTAGTACCAAGGAGTTTGAGCATAAGACGTTAAGTGGATCATCTTCTTTCTGGAAAGGTAAAGGTAAATATTTGAAGGTCAGGACTCAGAAAGACAAGTTTAAGAAGAATACAAATGAGAGTAGCACTACAACAAGTTTTCCACAGTGTAAGACTTGTGGGAAATTTCATCCAGGCCTTGGTTAGAATGTATGTTACAATGTGGCAAGCCAGGCCACTTTTTCAAAGACTGTTTTCAAGGTGATGTAAAAGTTGCTAGTAGGCAAACTACTGCAGTGCCAGCAGCTTCAGTACCTCAAACTATAGCCAGAGCGTATACTCTGAATTTCCAGCAGTCGGAGAAAGCTCAGAATCTTGTCAAAGGTACAATTTATGTAGATAATAATGATGTGAGAGTCTTATTTGACTCGGGAGCTAGTCACTCCTTTATTGTGGGTCCGTGTGCCATTAGATTATACCTACCCATGTATGAATTGTCTCGTCCTTTGGAGGTTATTACTGCTACAGGGGAGAAGTGCACTACTTCAGAAGTGTGCAAAGATGTTAAATTTCAGTATGAAGGTCAAGAATATATAGTGGATCTAGTATGTCTACCTATGTTCATCTTAGAGATTTTTCTAGGCATGGATTGGTTGTCAAAGAACTGTGCATAGGTAGATTGTTGCAGCAAAATAATAGTGATGTCTCCTAGGAATACAATTGAGAGTTCTTCTCCTTATTTGTCAGTGCTTCAAGCTAGAAAGGTCTTGAAGAGAGGTTCTTTTGGCTATATCCTTTTGGGAGGTTTAATTAGTGATGCTAAAAGTGATATTGTAAAGATTCCAGTGGTGCAAGGTTTTATGGGTGTGTTTCCAGATGAGATTCCACATCTACCACCAGAGAGGGAGATAGAGTTCTCCATGACTTACTTCCTGGTGCAAGGGTTTATGGGTGTGTTTCCAGATACCTACCACTAGAGAGGGAGATAGAGTTCTCCACGACTTACTTCCTGGTGTGGGGCCTATCTCTATGGCTCCATATCAGATGCCGTCTCTGAAATTATTAGAATTGAAGAAGCAGATAGAGGATCTTCCATCCAAGCAATTTATTAGACCAAGTGTATCCTCTTAGGAGCACCAATTTTTTTTGTTAAGAAGGATGGAAGCCTTCAGGTGTGTACAAATTACAGGCAGCTAATTAAGATGACCATTAAGAACAAGTATCCATTGTCTCGCTTTTATGATTTATTAGATCAATTGAGGGGTGCTTGTATCTTTTCGAATATTGACTTGAGGTTAGGGTATCATCAGATCCAGATTAAGCCGAAGGATGTTCTTAAGATTGCATTCAGATCCAGGTACGAACATTATGAGTACTAAGTAATTCTTTTTGGTATCACCAATGCTCCGACAGTTTTCATGGATTACATGAACCATTTCTTTACTATCAAAGTTTTCATGTTTTACTATCAAAGTTGAAAGAGAAAATTGATATTTTTGAAACAGAGAAAACTCCACTTTGATTCGATAGTAAAATTCTGATACAAGATACAATATATACAGGTAGCTGATGTGGCATTACTAACAGCCAATCAATGACTTAGATGAAACTAACTATAACATAAAGCTAAGCTAACTGATATATGTAAACTACATTCAAACTTTACTTAAACCTAAACTTCATCTGTATATTGTAATAGCCCCCCTCAAGTTGCGAGATAAACATCTAGCAAGCCCAACTTGGAAATAACATCGCGAAATGGAGAAGGATGAAGGGACTTCGTTAGAACATCAGCGAGTTGGTGATGAGTAGATATTGAAAGCAATTGAAGGAGACTTGCATTGATCTTCTCCTTTGTAATGTGACAGTCTATCTCGATATGCTTGTTACGATCATGGAAGCTGAGATTATGTGCCAAGTAAATAACAACTCGGTTGTCACAAAAAACAGACATTGATTGAGTGAAAAGGAAATGGATATCGTTAAACAAGTAATCAAGCCATTGTATTTCACAAGTCACGCTTGCGAGGGCCCTATATTCAGCTTCAGAAGAGGACTTGGAGACATTGTTTCTTTGATCACCATGAAATCAGTTAGTCTCCATGAAACTAACTATAACAGAAAACTAACTTTATTAAAAGGAAGCTAAGCATTGAACCGCTGCCACTCGGGTTGGACCGGCCGAGTTTGTAAAAAATCCGCGAACCGGCGAGTCAAAATCAACCCGATTAACTAATGACAAATTATTCCCACGCGATAGCTTTTCATGCCATCACTTCATTTCGAGTGGTTTATAAAGCTTTTCTCACTTCATATCAAGGTCGATGTGGGCTTCGTAATTTTAGAATCTCAGCTTAAATGGGCAAAGGTGGCGCTGACATTAAGTTTTGATCTCTTCTAAGTTCCATCCTTTCCTTGTTTATTCATTCTCAGTATGCTTCTAACTTCTAAATTCTAATCAAACTGTGTTGTATTTGAGCTATTAGCATCTGTACACTTCTAGAAAAAAAAGTTAAGCTAGAGCAAATTATGCATTGGAGTTTACTCTTGGTCGTTTTTGCTGTGCCCAATCGCATTGGCACTTTGTTTCCATTTAATTGTTCTTTTTGTTTAATTATTCATTGTAGTTTGTTTGAATGGTTGTACATTATTATCTTTGTCCTCATATCTAAGTTTTTTTTACTTGAGTTGTAATAAGCAATCTGATTTCACTTTCAGTTAGCTGTGTAGAATCAATTAATGGATGCAAAGGTGGACATTTCATAAGCTTCTTTTGGTACATAAAAAAATGGTGGTATCGACATATTGAAAAAATCTTGGTGATCGACTAAATTGCAAATTTTTGTTTAACTAGAGTTATTTATGAACAATTGAAAAAATCTCTCCATGGTATTATATCAAATAGAAATTATTATAAATTTTAATATTTTCCACAAGACTAAGCTTTCTTTGAGGGAACTACGCATCCTGTCTCACATGATATCAATGTTTATACCAATGCATTTGATATTTTTAAGCACCATTTAAGTACATTAAGTTTCAAGACTTGTAATTTATTATTTTTTATATTATAATATTTGAAACTGATATAATATTTTATTGATATTTAAGTAAGTTTATAATATTTTTAATATAAATTATAAATTTGCATATACATACCGGGTTATGCCGTTGAAACAGTGATTCACTGGTTGAACTAATGACTCATTGAGCCAGTACCTCAACCAGGTCAATGACCGGTCCGAGTTTTACAACATTGAGTTTGTAGCTTGTTTTTATTTCCCAGATTATATAAAAAAAGAAAAGAAAAGGAATTTATAACTGACCGACTATTTACCTACTCTAGTTTTTTTTGGTCTTGCTTCGAAATGGTTTCGCTGGTGACCTTTGAAATCCATATTTCTTGGGTTGGAACTGATGAGCCCATATAGCATAATTTAGAGTAAACAAGTAGAATCTCACGATATAATAACTACTATGGCAAGGTACCATTTTACCACAATGGTATACATTGTGCTAAGTTTCTTTTGCATATAAACAATGGGTACATCGAATATCCTGTTGCATTCCGTAACTTATTTTAATTATATATTTCTAAGAATATATAATTATAATATTAAAATTATTTTTTTAATTATATATTTTTGAGAATAAATAATTAAAAAATAGTTGCTAGAATGAATAATACCATTTCTGCAATATAATTCTTATATTTCTGATAAATAATCTAACTGGCACAAAAAGCACACAAAGGCTTAAACAAAATTATCCTTATGAGAGACCTCGAGCTGTTGGAGCTTGAGCCCTCGCCCTTTCGTATCTATCCACTTTTGAAATACGTTCTGAAAGTGACCAATATACTCATTAGAATAAATATCCTTTTTGATTCATAATAAAAAATATAATTTCTTTTTTACAAAAAAAAAATTAGTTTTGAAGTCTCTAAAAAATTTAAAGTGGATCCATTTAGTTAGAATCATGATCTCTCACAAATTTGAAAAAGACCGGCATTAGTCCCTCAAAAGGACTATAATGGGTCTACTTTGAATTTCATAAGGACTAACCAACTAATTTTTTGTTATAATAAACTAAAATGGGGACTATATTTTTTTTTAGGAATCCAAAAAAATATTTACTTTACTGATTATCTTTTAAAAATATTTTTGGGAACACCACGCTGGAGTAGGGGTGTTCATCAACCGATCCAAACCGATTTAAACTGCGGTAACCGAACCGAAAAATCGATAACCGAATAAACCGAAAACCGAAAAACTGAAAACCGAAAAAAAATCACAAATTTTAATTGGATTGGATCGGTTTTTGGATGGGTTGATGAAAACCGATCCAATCCAAACCGATCCAATATATTAATTTCCCTCTACCTATTTGAGTCTTTTCCTAATCCTAGCCTAAAAATTTCTTAACCCAAGACCCATTAACCCATGAACTAACCCAAGAAAAAATCTAGTCATATCTTATCAACACAATTTTATCTTTATAACTTCATATCTCATTGCCAAAAAAAAAAAATTATATTATAGTTTACTAATGTTTTTGTATTTTTAAAAAAATAAAAAATTACAAAACTAATATATACAAAAGATGTTATTTGCACAACAATTATGAAATAAATATTAGGATTTTCAAAAAACCGAAAACCGATCCAATCCAAACCGAAAAAAATTGGATTGGATTTGCAAAAAAATTCAAACCGAAGGAATTGGATAGGATGAATTTTGCTTCCAAAACTAATCCAATCCAGACCGCGAACACCCCTACGCGGGAGGCAAATTGGCCTAGCATATATGTTGGTGCAACCCATTCGCTATCCAAAGACAATCTTAGAGGGTGTTTGGTTTGGGTTTTCTTTTCAAAACACTAGGCATTACATATTGGTATTTTATGAATTCAATGTTTGGTTCAACGTTTTTTAAAAATTTCCCACCCAACTCATTTGGCTATGCTTCTACAATTCTGTGCAAAATGGAACAACAAACCCAGACCAACAATGCCACTTTGAAAGTGGGATTGTATGATAACTAGGCAAATGAGATATATAGAATGAAGGATTTGACATAACTACCATCTATTATGGGTTACTTTTGTAATGATATTAAAAATATTTGTATTGATATTAAAAAATTAATAAGGGGTTACTTTTGTAATTTTATACCATTTACCCATCAATATTCTATCATCAACCAAACATAGACTTTATAAATCTTACCTAATTTGCCTGGTAATTTTTTTTCTAACCAAACAACTTTTTTCACATTTTCCTATCAAACTCACTTTCTAACTATTTTCCTATCAATTACATTTCTCTAATATTCAAAAAATTTCTCCTCAACCAAACGCCCCCTAAGAAATAGCCTGCGTACAAGAGTTCGTCACGTGGACAACTATGATGCACGGACACTGACACGGGACACGAGACACGACACGACATGACACGCCGACACGTTAATTCTAAATAATGGCATATTTCGACACGTTGGGACACGTTTTGATATTAAATAATATTTTTAATATATATAACATTATTTACATTGAAATTATATATTGTATTTATTTTAATGAATAATTTTTAAAATATATCAATTTTCTAATTTTTATTAAACCGTTGTCCCTTTTATTTTTTCTTATCTTTTCCACTTATTCAATTTGGTTCCCCAAGTTGTCTCATCCTTTTAAAATTATTGGATGTCCAAGTTTACATATTTGCTCTCTATTTAAAATTATAATTATAATAATTTAAGGGTTTTTTTGTCATTCAACCATTAAAATATCTGTACCCCAACCCCAACCCTCCCCTTCTGACTAACGTCAACCCCTACCCGTCCCCTCCCCTCCCCTTCTGACTAACGTCTTTATGGTGTACATTGGTAATAGGAATTGCAGCATATGTACATTGGTAATAGGAATTGCAGCATGAATACTTTCTCCCTTTAATAAGTTTTTTATATGACCAACTCTTACTCTTCCTTCTCAACAAATCCGTTCCAGCAGCTAAATGCAACCAGCGGCCAGCAGCGTCATGCAACCAGCGGCGGAGACGGAGAAGGTGGAGGCACTAACCATGACTCCCCATCTTCGACAAACCCCTTCCCCTGTGAAAACTAGCGACCAACGGCGACCTGTGATTTCGACGGAGACAACGAAGATGACCTCACAGACTATAACTTCTATAACTTTGTGATTTTCCCCTCTCTCACTCTGTTCAGAAACATTGTTCTCTACTTTTTTTTTTACAATTATTTTAAACTAAACTGCAAAGGTGCTTGAAATCGTGTCTGAAAACGTGTCCGAAGACGTTGACTTCGTGTCCGACTCGGTCAAAATCGCGTGTTGAGATAGTCAACGTGTTCTAAAATATTGACTACATGTCAGACGCGTGTCGGAGCGTCTCAGTGTCCGACACGTAATTTTTTTAAAAAGGAGCGTGTCCGTGCATCTCAGGTGGACAGAGGCTTCCACATCAATGGAGACAAGGACCCCTAAACCCTTGAAGGCATTTTATATTGGAAAAAATGTTTATCCTTTTAAATGACATAATTTATATCCTTTCACTCTCACAAAGAGGTGGGACCCACACCTTTATTTTTTTTGTCAACTCTCTCTCCTCCTTTATCTATCTCTTTCTCTCTCTCAAAATGACACAACTTTACATCCTTTAAAATGACACACAATTTTCCCTTTTATATTTTATGTTGATTGTACGCATCTATTTGATGCATTTAGCTAAGGCATTCCTTCTTACGTCGAAATTTGAAGCATTGTTATCATTTCTTAATAAAAAAAACAATATTACATTATTATAGTAACCAAAAGTTTCTTATTTTTGCCAATAAGGATCGAGTCAACTATGTAATCGACTTCCCAGTCACGGGGCGTATTAGATTGAGATTTCAAAGAATTTTAATAGCTTATTTTTGGACAAAAAAAATCCGTTGGTATTCGATTAGAATTTTAAAGGATTATTTTAGAATCCGTCCAAATTCATTAATATTTAATAAGGATTTTAAACAATGGAATCAAAATCTCGTGGTATTCAAAATTCCGACGATTTTAATGAATTTTCTATTAGTGTGAATTTCGTGAGACTTTTTAGTGAAAAATATAAATAGGGGAGGATCCACTTACCACCAAAAAAGTTTACAACTCTTACAACCAACTCTTACAATAAAAATCAACGGTGATTAAGTTGGTTGTAAGAGTTGTAAACTTTTTTGGTGGTAAGTGGCTCCGTTCCCAATTTTTTTTTTTTTTTTTTGGTACATTGCCTGGAGGTATCCCCATTCAACATTCTCCGGGCACCATGCCCTCGGGGTACGGCCCGTTTGGGCTAGCCCCTCATTGTAACAGTGGGTGCACTAAGCTTCGCAACCGGAGAAAGGACGAGACTAATCCCCCAACCGAAGATTTGTTGGCTTATCCTCTGGCCCCCAAAGATTTTCCAAGAAACTGCTTGAGGCAGGGTTTGATCCCTGCACCAAGCAATCCATTGGATATGATAACAATGCTTTGGGGGTAAGTGGTAAGTGGCAAAAATAAGCTATGTGAAAGGATCCTTATTGGCAAGTGGATCCATTGGATAAGCTATTAAAATTCTTTGAAATCTCAATCTAATACGCCCCGTGACTGGGAAGTCGATTACATAGTTGACTCGATCCTTATTGGCAAAAATAAGAAACTTTTGGTTACTATAATAATGTAATATTGTTTTTTTTATTAAGAAATGATAACAATGCTTCAAATTTCCCATGTGGCAAAAATAAGCTATGTGAAATTCTTGTTATATTAGGTTTGATCCCTGCACCAAGCAATCCATTGGATATGATACCAAATGAAGAAGATAATTTTCAACCCATTGGATATGTGAAAAGCTATTTTTTAGTAATTTTGAATGTTTCTTAAAAATTATATTAGGTTTTACTTTTTTTTATTAATTCCATTGCATTTCTTTGTTTTTTTTTTTATGGGAAAGATTATACTTACAACCTATTTTTGTTTACAACCTTTTACAACCATATCTTAACCGTTGATTTCCGTCAATCAATGATTATTATTTTCACAAATCAAACTCATTAATTAATGTTTAATTTGCAATGAATGATAACCGTTGATTGACGAAAATCAATTGTTAAGAAACGATTGTAAAATGTTATAAACAAAAATAGATTGTAATTATAACCTTTTCCTTTTTTATTGACTCTTGTAATTTTAAATGTTTGTTAAAAATTCAATGATTTTTTAAAATTTTATAAATCCATATTGTTCTTTCAAATCTTATAAAATTCTATTAAAGTCCCTTGTTTGTAAAAAAAATCTTTTAAAAAAGTCTTTAAAATCTCTCTAATTCTAAATAGTCTTTTAAAATCTATAAGATTTTTTAGTTCAAAAAAATCTTTTAAAATCTTAATCCAATACATCCCCTAAACTTTGCGATCACCATTTTTAAAAAAAAAATTCTAATAATTGTTTTCAAAATAACTGCCACTATAATTCACTGTTGTGTAAAGCGTTGTATTATTAATGAATCAATTAAATCCATAAAACTAACCTTGATTTTTACAGAACATTTGCTGTTTATTACTCAGTACTCACGTTTTACTTTTAAACCACTTATTTATTATTTATTTATTTGTTTTTTTTTTTTTGGTTGAATATTTGTTTGTTTTTTAAGAATTAACAAGTGGTGCAAGAACTCGAAATAAAGTTGATGAACTTTTGCCAATTAGGGGTTTTGAGCCATGCAGGAAAGTTGGGAGAGGGGCAGCCTCAATCTCCAAAACGCAAATTAGCCTCACTTCAAAGGGTGTAGGAAATCTCATAAGACGGGGAAAAAAAAAATGCAAAACAAAATCAAAACAGGGAACTAGTAAACTTATCAAGGGGACCAAACTTGGATAAATAGGACACACCAGAGAAGAGAAAAGCAAAAAGAGATGATGTATGCTTTTGCAGAAAATTCACCATAGTATCATTTCTAATTTGAGTCCTCAGTGAAACTGAAAACATTTGAGGCAAATGATAAAGTAGAACCACACTCTATAATACTTATTGGGAGAACACCTCAAAACTCCAATGGTACAGCAGATTCAAGTCTTACGCGGTTTAATCTGACAGTTCCAAGAATGTACTCTGGCAGTTCTGCCTCTTCTTTTGCCTGCAAATATGGCATCACAGTAAATATCTGGAATAGTGAGAAGGTTGGAGAGTCCAAGAGGAGTTTATTCATTAATTATTACTAGCCCACACTCCATTAGGAAGTTTTTTAATGTGGTCCAGGACCACCATAGTCCTTCTACTAAAATATTGACACTTGGATTAAATTATTTTTTTTTCTTTTTTCTCTTTCCTCTTTTCTCTCGCCACAGTCCTACCAAATGATTTATGGTCCTGGACCACATTAGAATGCAATACATGTGGACATGCTTATGCAAGGAATCAAATACGCCTAGACTACGTGGCAGTCCTTTTGCATTTGACGTTTACTTTATGATTCTCAGAAAAAATAACATGTAAGAAAGAGCATGCAGGGACATAAAATGTAAAAAAATTTCAAATTTGAGTTAGTTTGATTATTTAATTTTTGGCTAGAGAGGGATTATTTATATCTAAAATAATAAAAGAAACTTTTAGCAGATGAAAAGGATTTTCATAAAATTCTTATTCAGTTGGAGTTAATTTTTAAAGTATCATATCAGCTCACCAACTTCCATCTCAGAAACATTCAGATTTTGCAATCCTTTTATTTTTATTTTCTGTCTCTTTAGTTTTCCCCATATACATTAATGGTATATGTCCTTTATAAAGGGATACGGCATCTTATCACAAATCAGTAGTAGTATTTTTGTATAAAGGAGGAGGGAAAATTCAATATGGATAAGAAATCCTACTAATTGCATGAGCTGAAAGAAAACAGATAAATTAGCTCAAACATGCAACAAAATTGTATAATCTCTGCATATGTTAGTAATGTATATTTCTGTAAAGAACCAATTAATTCAAAACCTTAAGGTGTTGGGTGAGGGCCTTTTTAATGGTTATATTATTCTCTAACACACCCCCTCACGCAAGAGTCCTTTGGGCTTGAAGCGTGAATTATTGCATAGGCCCAATTTTTAGTTTACTTTATGCTTATTTAATTCCATAAGTAGGGGCGGTGAGGATCGAACCCGTGACCTTGTGGTCATTGAAGCTCTGATACTATATAAAGAACAACTTCAACCCAAAATCTTAAGGTGTTGGGTGAGGACCTTTTATATGGTTATATTATTCTCTAACAATTTCCTTTAAGCAACCATGAGTAGGGCACCAGATAAAAGTCATAATATAAACACAATCCTATCCCATAAAATATGTATTGGCAAAGAGACACCCTTGACCCTTGAAAATGCATCCCTCTCCAAACCAAATACACCAAAGAATCAGGTAATTCCACATTTCCAATAAAATCACAGCCTCCTTATTCCAGATATCTTAAGTCTACATGAAAGGAACATGGAAAGATGACATTGTAAGAGGATAATTTGTCCATAAAAATAATGACCAAAAAGGCACAAACCTCTATCAAAATTGCTAGGTCAACGACTAGGCTTGTGACATATCCCAGAACAAGGCCAACGACACTCCTGGCTACAGAGGATGATCCAATGTCTACATCTATCTGCATAATACAGAAAATTGCTGTTAAAGTGTGATCCACCAGACAAATTATGATAATGGCGGAAATGTTACAGGTAAACTGAAGCTCAACTCTATGATCAACTAGCATATTATTGCACACAATTCAATAATAATGTTGAATTGGGCACCTTCAATGACTGGCAAGCTGCGGTATAAACATATTTCAGAATAAAAATTAAGGTTCCACAAGCAAAAGCCAGTAGTTGATGCTAAGTGGGGCTTGAAATTTACATAGCCAATCCAATAAAGTATTTTACACATAACTGCAAGTAAAAGTAAGCTGAGATTCTAGCATAGTACTACACATCAACATCACTTTTATATGAAACTAGTTAGGGTCAGTGGCAAATGAACATAAATAAAAAGTACGTAAAAATTGAGGAAAAATTGATAAAAATAGAATAAAAAGAACTATAAATAACATTAGAAATGAAAACATAGCAATAAACGATTTCGAAGAATAATAAAATAGAATAAACTGAAAATAAAGATACATAAGAAAGAAAAAAATAAGAAAGTTAAAACAAAAATACATAGAAAATATTAAAGAAATAGAGGGATAAAAAAAAGAAAAAGAAGAAAATAAATAAATTAATAAGAGAAGAAAAAGAAAAAGGGAAAAAAGTGAAATACAAGGAGAAAGGGAACAAATGAGAGGTAAAGAAAGAAATAGAGGGAGATTAAAGGGAAAAGGACTAAAAAGAAACCATCTAGAAAATAGGAAGCAAAACAAGTCCAACTCTCCACAACGCTAATAGCTTTTCTTCAATCCGACCGAAGACACACCGTCTGCCAATCTATATCCCACTCCATTAAGTCATGTTTTACTATCTTCTCCCAAGTAAATTTTGGCCGACCTCTTCCTCTCTTTGTGTCGAGTTCTTGGTAACACGCTTTTGTTCTTAACGAAGCATCTAGTAGTCTTCGCATTATCTACCCAAACCACCCCAATCCATGCTCTCTCATCTTATCAACCACCGGTACAACTCCAACCTTTTTATGAATATCTTCATTTTTTATCTCATCCACCTTGTATGACCACACATCCACCTTAACATCCTCATTTCCGCTACTCCCTTTTTATGCTCATGTTGCCTACGTGCTGGGCAACATTCAACTCCATATAACATTGCAGGCCTTAGTACTGTTCTATAGAACTTTCCTTTTAGCCTAAGGAGAATCTTGCGATCGTACAGAAACCCTGATGCACTACGCCATTTCATCCATCCTGATTTGATTCTATGATTCACATCCTCAATAATCTCTTCATCCTTTTGCAAAGTAAATCCCAAAGATCTGAAAGCATTCCAATTATAGCATAGTACTGCACTACATTTTTTCCACCTAGAAATAAATTCGGATAGAGGAGAGGATATTATGAAATGAGTGGTTTAATAATTACAAAGATTATTCACAGACATCTATGTTTGTCTTCTTAATTCAAGAATAAGGTAGCTATTGAAAAAGTATCTATTCTTGAGGGTTAATATCTCCTAATTATTGCATGTATATTCACAATAAATAATTAGGTTAGTTTTTTTCTTCTTAATTTCCTCATATGAGAGATTATAAATCATGTATATATTTGATCATACTAAGGAATTGCTCAAAACAATTCCGAAATCCTTTTGTCCCTTTTCAAGTTGTCTTCGGAATTGCTTGATCTTGGGAAGTCTCAAATCCTAATTCTAAGGTACTTGAGCTTTTGGTCTGAGTACCCTCAGTCACCACAATAAGGACAAGATCAGTTATAGAAACTCTCGATTGACTTTGCCCTAGACCACCATTTCTAGAAACTAGTTGGCTTTGTTCTTAGAGGGAGTCTAGGTTGGTGTGCAAGCTGCTCAAATCATTCTATGACCTGAAACAGTCACCACATCCTCGGGCTGAATTTGAGTTTTTTAGCACAATTGTTAAAGACTTCATCACGACTCAAAGCGAAGCCAACCATCATTTTTCTATTGACATTAGTCTCTTGACCAATGTATTCATCTTGTTTATGACATTGTCAACATAGAAAGTGAGCAAAAAGCGGCTGCAAAATCGAGTGCGGAAGCTAAGTATGAGAAATGAGAACTATGATTTGTGAACTCATTGCTTAAAGTAGTTGATAAAAAAATCTAACATTTGTGAATCACAAAGAATGAAACTGATACGTGACAATCATGTTGCGCTATATATATCTGCAAATCAAGTCTTTCATGAAAGAGCTAACTATATTGGGATTCATCCCATTTTGTTCCGGAGAAAAAAAGTCTAGAGAGATCACAACGGCATTTGTAAATTGTGGCGACCAACTTGCATATATTTTGACTAAAGGTCTTAGAGATTCTTGAGTTAACTATATACATGACAAGCTTGTTGCATATGTATGTAAACACTAACTTGAGAGGGAGTGCTAGAGTAACTTGGATATTAATGATAATATATCATGTATATATTGTTGAACCAATTAGGAATAATTGGTATTAAACTTGAAAATATTATATATAGAGACCATGTGATAAGATCCCACCTAAATGGAAAGTTTATAGGAGGCAAAATATTTGTGCCCGTACAAAATCATTTATTAATAAGAGGATGAATGTGTATGCTGAGTCAGTAGCGGTAAATGGAGTGGAAAGCATCACACGTGATATGGTAACAATTCTGTTGGAGGAGCACGTATGGAAAGGCAGGAAGCATGTGAGAAGGCTCACGAGGGGCATATTAGTGGGGGAAGCATGCATTAGGGGGTATCTGAGAATTTGGGCAATTTGGGCACCATTTGGTGAATGGGGAGAGACCAGGAGCTCTCTAAGTCTTTTAGGCTATCTTACTGTCTCTTGCTATTATTTCCATTGTAGTTGATTACTATTTCTTTCTTTTAAAGACATAGTTGTAACGGAGATATACTGAATTGAGAGGAATATACAGATTATATGATAAGATACTTGTGGTATTTTCTGATTATTTGTTGTTTGCTGGTTGAGATATATTGATCTTTTACAACTGGTATCAAACCTCCCGATCTGGGGGATTTGAATGGTAGTGACGAATTATGGAGACGATATTTGAAACTATAGAAGAGCGTGTGGGACGTTTGTAGGAAGGGATTCCACGAGTTGAAGCAGGAAAGGTGGAATTGCAACGGAGTATGGCAGATATAATGAGAATGTTGCACAATTTGACACAGGATCGTGAAAATCAATGATCCAAGAACATACATGGAGATGAAGGTGGGGAAGTCACAACGGAGGAGGCGAAAGAGGGGATAATCGCGCAGAACAAGAAAAGAAATTGGAGATCCCATTATTCTCTGGTGAAGGACTAGTTGGCACGAGTCAAATGTTACTTTGAGGTGAACCACATGATTGATGCGGAGAAGCTGCCGATGGTGATGATCATGTTAGAAGGGGAAGCTCTCCATTGGTATCAATGGTAGGAAAGAACCACTCAAGAGACAACTTGGGAGTCGTTCCGCACAGATGTTGTGGGACGATTTCGCCCTGAACTAATCGGAGATTCTTTTCGAGAACTCCTTCGACTCAAACAAACGGAAACAATTCAAGAGTACCGTCGAGATTTTGAACGGATCAGTAGCACCGTACGAAATGTAGATGAAGTATTTTTGAGGGGAATATGGCTGAATGGATTCTCTGACGTGATTAGGGAGGAATTGCTGATCAAACCTAATGATTCTTTGGAGAAGATGATGAAAAAAGCATAGAGGATCGAAAGTAGAAACTTGGCTCTCACGAACGTGGTGGTGGGGAGCAATGGGCCTTCTTACAATTCACGGGCTCGAACATCGGGGAAGTTTAGGAAGAAAAACCAACGTTACAATTCTCTACTCAAAGTTTGTTGGGGCTATCATCGAGCAAAACCATGCGAATGTGAGGGGAGATTAACGAAACTCAGGCAATAGTTTTGATTGATTGTGGAGCTTTGCATAATTTTATCAAGAATACTATGGTCCATGCGTTGAATTTGGCTGTAATAGATACTCCTAAATATCAAGTTGAAGTGGGTAATGGTGAATTGCTGAATTGTTAGGGAGTCTATAAGGGGGTGAAGGCAGAAATATAAGGAGTTGTAGGGGAGAAGGATTTCTACTTCTTCAATTTAGGAGGAGCTGATGTAGTGTTGGAGTTAGATTGGTTGCAAGGATTGGGCAATATCATAGCTAATTTCAGATATTTAACTTTGTGCTTTGTCAAGGATGGCAGAGAAGTGGTACCTAAAGCAGAACTAGAAATTTCCAGGGCACTTGCCTCTTTTAAATCGTTGGCGAAGGCTTTGCAGATGAGGGTTAGGGTTTTCTGATCACTGAAGGAAAAACACCAATGAAGTTAGGAGATGTGGAGAGAGAATGACCATAGCTGATGGAATTATTGGAGGAATTTACAGAGATTTTTAATGCAGTCTTACCTTTTCCTCTTAGTAGACGATAAGACCATGCTATAATTTTAAAGTAGGGGAGTGAAGTTCCAAACATCTGCCCTTATAGGTACCCTCACTATCAGAAGTCCGAAATCGAAAAGGCAGTAAATGAATTGCTACTGTTAGAATAGATATGATTAGATACGATTAGATTACTTCCTTATTCCTTTGTAATTAGTTCTGGGCTACTCACTTAAGCCCATTAGGGTCTTTATATATTGTAACTCTTTGTATCAGATTAATACACAACATATTATTTTATATTCAAGTTGGTACCAGAGCTCTTTTGTTCTGGGGACCCTCGCTTCCGTTCAAAACCTTGTTTTCGCTTTAAAACCTAAGCCCACTGCTTAGGAGTCATCTTTTCTTTGCCGTGCGTCCTTCTGGCAAGTCATCAAGGGCTGTAAGTCCCTTCTGGGTAATTTCCGAACGCGTCGGCACCTCCGATGGTCACCGGAACCACCGTCCGCCACTGTTCAGGCCGCCGGAGAAGTTTTCCGGCGAGTTTTCAGCCCGACCATACGCGATCAGAACCCTCTCCTCCCGGCGACCAAGTCT